AAAAAAAAAATACAATGTAATAATTAATGGTAAAAGTAAACCAAATATAAATAAAAAAAACTGTAGAAATAAGTTTATTTGCAATTAAAATAAAAATTTCTCAAATATAGAAATAAAAACGAGATTTAAAGGTAAATGATGTAAGATATTGGGCTGTTGTCCAAAACTGAAACTGGCTCAATTTAGTGATGGGCCTGTGATTCCGAACGTCATAAGGCCCAACTTAGCACAAAAGCAAGAGCCATATATGAATGGACGAGGGTTTTCCACCATTTTAACAGCGGCATCTCACACATATTCTTCAGTCTCATTCGCCGACTCCCAAACCCTAAACCTCCCCGCAGGAAGCCGAGAAGAAGAAGAAGAAGACTTCAAATGGGTACGCATTAAAGATTGATTGTGTGGTTAAAGAATTGAAAAGGCACTGTTTTTGATATTTTTTTCCCTTTTTAATTCGAATTTTGATAGCGAGGATTAAGGTGCACGAGCTGAGGCAGAAGAGCAAGGCGGAGCTGCTGGCGCAGCTGAAGGAGCTGAAGGCGGAGCTGTCTCTGCTGCGCGTGGCAAAGGTCACCGGCGGCGCCCCGAACAAGCTGTCCAAGATTAAGGTTGTCAGGCTCTCGATCGCACAGGTCCTCACCGTGATTTCTCAGAAGCAGAAGGCAGCTCTCAGGGAGGTCTACAAGAACAAGAAGTACTTGCCACTCGATCTCCGTCCCAAGAAGACCCGCGCCATCCGCCGCCGCCTCACCAAGCACCAGGTATGTTGCCTTATTATTTTTTTTTTTCCAATGTACATTTCAATAATGTGATGGTTTAGTTTTTGCATGGCTGTTGGGGCTCTGTTGCTTGTCCCAAAATTGTACCTTTTATATTTTATTTTTTTTGGCTTTTCTCATGATATATTCATCACTAAGTACAGTTTTTGTGTTACAAGTGAAATTATATGTACAGTGACCCAATTACTTGCAGTTCTTTTTTATATGTTTATATCATGTGCAGCTTAATTGGTTTAGTTATCATGCTAGATTGCAAGTTTGAACACTGGTTTAATTGGGAACACAACTCTTAAGTGAATGATTATATTTATGTTTGCAAATATCTCTCTTTAAGATGGGCAGGATTAGGTCAGGGTTGATAATCCTTAACATATGAGTGTGTTTTGTTGAGAAAAAAGGTGTACTTTAGTCTAGTGCCTTTCCGATTCCAGATTGTCTATCCCTTTAAACTAATTGGTGTGTGTATATCATTCTAATAAATCCTTTTTACCTTATAAGTTATAATGTTTAAGATTCAGTTGGTTTAATTATATAGTTATGTGTCTGGCTTGTCTTGCAACTTCTGAAAGTTATGAGTCGTGAATCCAAGATATCTATCTATCTTATACGATTGCTTGCAATGCATAGTTTTCCTGAACCGTTTGTATTAGGCATGCCAAATCAGAAGTATTCTGTTCATAGTTTTTGTTTTTATCTGTTGTAGTTGTGAGCTTTATTTCTCAAACTCTCTTAAACGGATAAGATTTGTAGA